AACTCAACAACATCCTCATTATCGGCATGACGAATCGTTTAGACATGATCGACGAGGCGCTCCTTCGTCCTGGTCGTTTGGAGGTTCACATGGAAATCTCGCTTCCCGATGAGAGCGGTCGTTTGCAAATCTTGAACATCCACACGGCTAAGATGCGCGAGAACGGAATCATGGAAAGAGATGTCAGCTTACCAGAGCTAGCTGCCTTGACGAAGAACTTCTCGGGTGCTGAAATTAATGGTCTGGTCAAGAGCGCTACGAGTTTCGCGTTCAACAGACACGTCAAGGTCCGTTCTTCGACTACGTACAATAGAAAATAAGCTGAAGTTGCACGGGGACAGGTCGGAACTATGGCTGGTATCTCTGACGATGTGGAGAATCTGCGCGTGAATCGAGCGGACTTCATGATGGCCTTGGACGAAGTCCATCCTGCTTTCGGTGTCGCGGAAGAGGAGCTTCAACAGGTTATCCAGAATGGAATTATTCACTACGGCCCGAGTGTCGAAGTAAGCTTTCCCATTGCTTGATTTCACACTACGATAGCTCACGCGTCGCTATGTCCTTAGGAAATCCTCCGCGATGGCCAACTCTTTGTTGAACAGGTCCGGACAAGCGCGAGGACACCCTTGGTCACCGTTCTTCTGCACGGTAAGCCACTGGCGACGAAAATGTATGACGATTTCTCATTGAATGGCTTAGGTCCACCGGGTGCGGGAAAGACGGCTTTGGCGGCATCCATTGCGCAAGCCTCGCAATATCCATTCATCAAGCTCGTTTCTCCAGAATCGATGGTCGGAATGAGCGAGGCGGGCAAAATCGCTGCCATCCACAAGGTCTTTGCAGACAGTTACAAGAGTCCTCTCAGCGTCATCGTCGTTGACAACATTGAGCGGTTGCTGGGTCAGTATGATCTCTTCTGCGCCGCGACTCGATTGGAACAGGAAGCTGATACTTGATCCTGCTGCGTAACAGAATGGGTTCCAATCGGTCCCCGGTTCTCGAACGGCGTGTTCCAAACCTTGATGGTCTTGTTGGCAAGAAGACCGCCGAAGGTGAGCGCTGTCGTTTCATGCTCACGAATAGCACCCACTAACCTAAATCCATCCAGGGCCGCCGTCTTTTGATCATTGCCACGACAGGCATCCGCTCGGTCATTACGGATACGCAGATGTCCGAGGTATTCGATTCCCAAATCCGCGTACCTCCAGTCTCTTCGTTGGCTTCCATTGAAACGGTTCTCAAGGAAGTGGAGCTGTTCCAGTCCCCAAATCACCTGAGACGCGCAATGCAGATGCTCGGGGACGCTGGCTTCTCTGGCGAGGGACGAGTAAATGTCGGGGTGAAGAAGCTGCTAAGCATTGTGGAGATGGCGAGACAGGAAAACGAAGATCCTGCGTCAAGGCTAGTGTCGGAGTTGAGGAATCTAGAGTACATGTAAAAGATTATTGTCGAGGCGTGAATGGAAAACTGGCTGTGGATGATCTCAGGTGGTGCGGCGCCCAAGCAGATGGACCGTGGCTTGCGACTAGCCATCAAAAGCATTGGCCCTCAACGAAGTTTATGTGGGACAGGGGACAAAAGAAAAGCAGATATCTTCCAAAAGAATTGTTCCGGCACTGGGAATTGAACCCAGATCACCGCTGTGAGAGAGCGGTATGATAGCCATTACACTATACCGGAGTCGATACTAGTGGAGCAAGCATTAGTTACACGTCACATTCCAGCCAAGTTAAAAGGTGTGACTACTTGTGCAGTATTCTTCGAAGGTATACATGCTCTGACGAAGTTAGTGTTAAAAGCTTACAAATATTTCTCCAACGCTAATGTGACGATGCACCAGGGAGCTGAAGGCTCTTGAGCTTGGGGATGTCAATCTTTATTTGTCCGTGTGGCGGTCACTAGGCGTCATTTTTCCTCGACCACTTCGAAGACCCCAAGCGCACGGTCGTTGACAAGTAAATTAGCCATGGCTGGTGGAAAGAGAGGACTTGGGTCAAGAGGAGAAGTTAGTGGGACTGAAAACGTCAATGCACCAAGGTCGTTCATCGTCAAGCAAGGGCACGTTGGTGCTTCCTTGATGCAGCTCGTGCGGGACATGCGCAAGGTCATGGAGCCAAATACCGCTGCTCGACTGAAGGTGCGTCGATGATGAAAATAACAGTTCAAATCCTTTATCTTACGTTGCACGCTCTGTTGTCGTTTCAGGAAAGGTCGACGAACAAATTGAAGGATTTTCTGGTGATGGCACCCCTACTCAAAGTATCTCACTTATTGGCTTTCTCGTTGGCCAAGACGGCGCCGACGTTGAGAATAGCAAGGTTACCTCAAGGTCCGACGTTCAACTTCCGGATTGAGCGGTATAGTCTGGCGAAGGATATCCTGAATGCTTCAAGGGACCCTAAACAGTCACCTCAGGCTTTCCAATATCCACCATTGGTGAGTGAATTTAATTTACTACGACTTTCTGCAGTGTGATATTGAACTTTACTTTGCGACCTAGCTCGTCTTATCGTCTTTCCCGACTGGCCCCAATGCACCGCAACACCTCGGCCTGGTCCTCAAATGCTTCCAATCTCTCTTCCCTCCACTAACCCCCAAAACCATCCCACTATCCACCGCTAGGCGCGTTGTGCTCGTCTCTTGGAACGCCGAAAACCAAACGATCGACATCCGACACTACCTTATTACCGTGAAAACTTCCGGCGTAACTCGTCGGGTCAAGCGCATCCTCGAGCCAAAGTCAGGGTCGGGTGGGAAGATACCCGACTTGAGCCGAGAGAAGGATATCGCCGATTACGTTTTGAAAGCCGCCGGAGGAGGGGAAGATGGATACGAGACCGCGTCGACCAGCGCGGCAAGTGATGCCGATCCGGAGGAGTACGCTGTGCGGTTAGCGTCGGACTATGTTGGAAGGAACAACAGGAAAGGAGACAAGCGGGCCGTCAAGCTAGACGAGATCGGCCCGAGGATGGAGTTGCGGCTCATTAAGATCGTGGAAGGCCCACCTGGGAAGGAAGGTGGTGTGCTTTACCACGAATTCGGTGAGTGATTCGGGTTGTTCTCAGGTCCGTGCCTCTAAGTTCGGTTCTGCAGTTAAAAAGTCTCCGAAAGAAGTTGCCGCGCTGCGGAAAGAAGCTGCAGAGCGAGCCAGGATACGCAAGCAGCGACGGGAGGAACAGGAAAGAAACGTCGCCAGGAAGCAAAAGGCTGCGGAAGGGAGTGACGATGAAGATGAGGGTACGGACGCTGGAGAGCCGCGGGAAGATGAGGTCGAGGACGAGGATGATAATTGGAACGCGGATGAGGATGTGAGCGAGGGCGAGGAACAGGATCAAGCTGTGTCGGAGGAAGACGTGTCCGAGTCGGAAGAGGAGACGGAGAAAGCTGCCCCGCCAAGAAAGCGTGTCAAGACTGGGAACGCGACGAAGCCTAAAGCTGCTATCAGGCTCCGGAAATAGTCCAGCTATTCCGCGCGATCGGCAGAGACGCTCAGTGTCCGGTGTGCTCACTGCCTCCAAGTGTACTACTATGTTATACCATCGGACTTGAATAGTTGGACGTGAACTAAGCGTTGTAGTCGTTTTGAGGTGTGCTGTGGTGTATCCGGGTGGAGGGGGAGTGGGCCGGGGAGGGGCGGACATGCGCTGGGACTTCGGGGTATGACCTCAGCAAGTTCCACGTCGTGTTCCTCGTCTGTACCTTGAATCCCAATTTCGACTATTCACCCAACCAGCTCGCTTTGACACGCAGACATCTCCCCACCCGGTGACTGCATGTCCTCTCCTCTAGGACATTAAGCACTCCAATCACTCAGAGAGAGAGTACTTCGTTTTATGTCTCGCGGCCAGTCCGTCGCTCTCGATATCCGTCCTTCCTCACCCCCTTCACCATCCTCGTCCTTCGAGGAAGTCTCGTATCCTTCAACCCACTCTCATCAACAGCAGCACCAACTCCTTCCTCTCCACCATCAGCACATGGAGGCTGACAAGGCGAGAAGAAGACACGTAGGTGGAGACGAAAACAAGCCCAATGGCAACGGCGCTGGGTGGTCATCACCAGCGCAGTCGTATGGGCCATATGCGCCTGGAGGACCTTCAGAAGCTATCTGGGAGGACTCGAATGGCAAAAACGTGTACGAAAAGGCCGGCTTTGGCCCTGGAAGGCTGCCACCGCCCCGTACTCGCCGATCTCGTCCCCCAACCAGCTTTGTATGTCGTCACGTCGCATTCGTCTTTGCCCTTGCCGTACCATTGACCCTCCCTTCTCTAGAGCGAATTGTACGAAGAATACTCTGAACTCATCCCACCACTCATCTACACAATCCTTTCATGCTACACTCGCTTCTATCATATTGGGAAGGCAAATACCGTCGTCTGGGACGAGGTGGGTTCAAGCGCGCCACAAATTGATAGATCTCATCGCTGACAAGAATAATGGGCGCTGTAGGCCCATTTCGGGAAATTCGGCTCCCACTACATCAAACACGACTTTTACTTCGACGTGCACCCACCTCTTGGCAAAATTCTCGTCGGTCTCGCTGGTTGGCTGAGCGGATACGACGGCAACTACGATTTCCCAAGTGGCAGTGTCTACCCACCCGAAGTTCCCTACGTGCCAATGCGCATCATGTTGGCGATGTTCGGTGCTGCTATGGTACCATTGGCTTGGTTTACTGCTGTCGAGCTTCATCTGAGCCCAAAAGCGTGTCATCTCCTGACACTAATGACTTTGTGCGGTACGTCATTGGTATCTGGCATACAAGGAGGGGGACTGACAACAGCCATAGATCTCGCCTGGATATGTATCAGCCGGTTCATCCTACTCGACTCTATGCTCTTGTTCTTCACTTTCACAACAGTATTCACTATGGCCAAGTTCAACAACCAGCAATGGCGGTGAGTGAAGCGCTAATTAGTGCCACTCCACGACGCTCACTCGCACGGCTATAGACCGTTCTCCTTCGACTGGTGGTTGTGGCTTGGCTTGACGGGCTGGTCAATCGGTTGCGTAGTTAGGTACGGTTCTGCGAGCATTACCCAGCCGAGCCTGTGGTCTGATTCGTTGCCTCGTAGCGTCAAATGGGTCGGCTTCTTCGTCACTGCACTTGTTGGCGCTTACACTATTGAAGACCTCTGGGAGAAATTTGGTGATCTGAAAATGCCGATTGTGCGTGTGTTTGCACCATTTGCCCTCCCCAGCTAACCTGAATTGCATCTCTACAGCGCGTCTATATCAAGCACTGGATCGCGAGAGGTCTTTGCTTAATCGTTCTCCCAGCTATCGTCTACATGGCGTCGTTCAAGGCACACTTCATGCTTCTCAGCCACTCCGGCTCTGGTGACTCGCAAATGAGCTCCCTCTTCCAAGCCAATCTCGTAGGCAACGACTTCGCTACGAACCCTCTCGGTACTGTCTACCTGCCCCTACGAGAAAGTGCCTCGTTCACTGACACCGGTTAATCCGTGGGTAGAAATTGCAATTGGATCTAAAGTCACCTTCAAGAATGTCGGTTATGGCGGTGGTCTCTTGCACTCACACGTCCAGACCTACCCCGTCGGCTCGCTCCAGCAACAAGTCACTTGCTACCACTACAAGGATGACAACAACAACTTCAACCTTGTCCGTCCATGGGGCCACCGCGAGTACAACCCGAACGAGGATATCGAATTCCTCAAAGACGGCGACGTCATCCGATTCCAACACGCTTCGACTATGCGCAACCTTCACGCTCATCAAGTCCCCGCTCCCGTCACAAAGGAGAACTGGGAGATCAGCGGATACGGAAACGCTACGACCGGAGACCACAACGATCTCTGGCAACTGGAAGTCGTGGACGATATCATTCTGGGCAACAAGAAGCACTTGAAAGATCGGATCAGGTCGTTGACGACCCGCGTTCGGTTCCGTCACCTTACCCTTGGATGCTACATGGTTGCGGCGAATGCTGTTTTGCCCGCTTGGGGCTTCAAACAGGTTGAAGTGTCTTGTGATAAAGAGAACAACCCTAAGAATAAGCACACCTGGTGGAACGTGGAAAGTCATTGGAACGATCGACGTAAGTGTCGCGATGACTTTGGTTGGTCAGGGCGCCGCTCACCAGTTCGACCCCTTGCGTAGTTCCCTCTGGCAACCAAAAGCTTTACAAGTCTCCTTTCTTCGCCGACTTCTTGCACCTCAACGTTGCGATGATGACTTCCAACAACGCTCTTGTTCCCGACCCAGACAAGGAAGATATCCTCGCCTCGACCCCGTCTGAATGGCCCTGGCTCCACACCGGATTGAGGATGTGCGGATGGGGCGACGATCAGATCAAGTTCTACCTTTTGGGCCACCCTCTCATCTGGTGGGGCGGAACTCT